TTTATTTCATAATTATCACATATTGGTACAATAAACCCTCTTTAACACAAGCTGCAAAACAGGGTACAATATTTGACAATGCAGCTCTGACCCCAACCAAGCACCCCCTAAACCCACAGTTTTTCTTTTTTTTTTACCTACAGAGGTGCCCATGTATGATACAACATAAACAGTCACAAGTGTTTTGCAACACATACTGACATTGTGTGCACTCCATGAGCTGGATGACAGCCCTCCTAATAATTGCTGGCTGACATATTCAGGTGCTGATTCTGGTTCTAAACAGAATGGACACTAGATGGCGCTAGTTCCTCTATGACCAAATCCGTATATAGGAGTAGAATTTTCTATACATTGACTTTGAATTCATTAATGTAAAAAAAAAAAAAACTAGGAGATTCCTTAAAGCCAAGATTGGGCTTGAGGCAAAAATAAATAAAACATAACCACCCCCTCCCCACGCATATAATATAATGTATATATTAGGCTCTGTGAATTCTAAGAGGGTTATTCACAAAGCTGCTTAAGGCAGCCGAGTGAATAACTGAGCCGAAGTGAACAGAGCCAAACGCTGTTCGGCTATTCACTTTAGCTCAGTACGGCTAATTTCAGCCATGCATCGGCTGAAATTAGCCGTACATCGGCTGAAATTAGCCGTACATCGGCTTGCTTTGGTTCAGCTGAACATGCTCAGCATGTTCGACTGAGCTGAAGTGAAGAACACGTTCGACTTAGCCGACCCAACATCTGGATCGGCTGAGCCACATCTCCGGCTACTCACTGCCATTCGGCTTATTCTCATAGGGGCTGAACGGCAGTGAATAGCCAAATGCTGCCGAACGGTATCTCTGTGGTACCGAGCAGAATAAAAAATCCGTTAAAAAAAGTGGGGGGGGAGGGGGGAGTAGAATTTTTTTTTTAACATTTAAATAAATGTTAAATCTAAAAAAAAATAAAGATGTTTAAAAAAAATAAAAAAAAACAATTGGGTGGAGCTAGCACTGACAGCTAGCTCTGCCCAACTCTTTCCTATTAGCTGGGGCCTGCTAAAGTCTTCTAGCAGGTCCTGGCCAATGAATAACAACTGGGCGGAGCTGGCCGTGATGTCACAGCCAGCTCAGCACAGTTGTCATTGTTTAAGGAGAGTTCAGCATCCCCAGGTAACCTGGGGGCGCTGATCTGTCATTGCAACTGGGCGACGCCAGCCGTGAGATCACTGCTGGCTCCCCCCAACTGTCAGTTGCGAGGCTTTCGGCCGGCCTTTGGCTGCCCGTTCGCACCGCTTCGGGTGTCCTTTCGGCTCGCTCGAGTCGAAGCATATGCCTTCGGCTCGGCCAACTTCGAGAGCTGTAGGGCTATAGTGAAAAGCAGCCCTTCTACTGAACCGAAGGGCTCCGGCGGCCGAAGCTAGCCAAAGGATCAGCCAGATCTATGTAATTAGGCATCAGGACAATACAAATCATCTGGTCCTTAGCAGGTCTTAAAATTAAGTAAATACAACCTCAGATGAACAACAGCACACAACATATTACACTGTGTCATTATTCCTTTTAAAAACATAGAACCAAAATGGAGATGTTATGCGTGATAAACTGAGTACCCCCTTACTGCTTCCATAGGAATTAAGAGGCTAAGCAGCAGCCAGGTGCTGCTAATCAAATGCCATTGGATTAATTGATCATCAGCGAGTGTGAACACCTCTATAAAAGCCGTAATTTTAGCAGCTTGCTGGTCTGGAGCATTAAATGTATGTTAACACAATGCCAAGGAGGCAAGACATCAGACAGCAATGATCTTAGAGAAGCAATTGTTACTGCCCATTAATTTGGGAAGGGTTATGCTGGGCACACACCTTACAACCATCGCAAGACTTTTGTCTTGCAATGGTTGTAAGGTAATTAAAAAAACGTTCGATCTGCCCATCTTGGACAGGCAGATCGTACTTGCGATGATCGAAAGCCACGCCCCCTGAGGGGCGGGCTTCCGATGACCGCAATGCCGAACGGGCAGTGTGCGCTTGCGCACACCGGCCCGTCTGGCTTTTATCTTACGAACATGCTACACACCCGCCAAACATGGTAGCACAGCTTGGGTTTGCAAAGATGCATCCGAACAAACTACAAGACTTTTGGAACAAGGTCCTTTGGAGTGGACCATGAACTCCTCTGTATTCAAGAGTCAAATGTGAGGCCATCTGTCCGACAGCTAAAGCTTGGCCAAAATTGGTTTATGCAACAGGACAATGATCCCAAGCACACCAGCAAATCTACAACAGAACGGCTGAAAAAGAAAAGAATTGAGGTGTTGCAATGGCCCAGTCAAAGTCCAGACCTCAACCCGAATGAAATACTGTGGCGAGACCTTAAGAGACCTGTGCATAAACAAATGCCTGCTAACATCAATGAACTGAAGCGACATCACAAAGAGTGGGCCAAAATTCCTCCACAATGATGTGAGAGAGACTAATAAAGTCATGCAGAAAACAATTACTTCACCTTATTGCTGCTAAAGGTTGCTCTACAAGCTATTGAATCATAAGGTGTACTTAGTTTTTCATACACGGCTTCTCTATTTTGGCTTTATGTTTATAAAATAAATAATGACACGGTGTAATATGTCATGTGTTTTTGTTCATCTGAGGTTGTAGTCACCTAATTTTAGGACCTGCTAAGGACCAGATGATTTTTATTATGTCATGATACATAAAACCATAGAATTCAAAAAAGGTGTACTTTCTTTTTCACATGACTGTATATATGTGTGTGTGTATATATATACGGTATATATATTGTAGGGGCCTGCAAGGCTGGGTGGTGGAAGGCAGGTATATTTTGCCACTATTTGGACTGTGGTCCCCTTGAGGGTTAACCTTCCTGACACAGGAAGCAGCTGAAAAGGTCAGCAACTCCAGAGGAGTGTGGGAGTTGAGGAGAAAGGAATCAATTATGTCTAGTGAGAGAGACCTGCTGGATTGCTGTGCTGCAGTGTTACAGGACTTATATTCCTGGGAAGTCGGTGAGACATTCATTTTTTGTTATCTGTGCCAAAGATTTGGACGTTTACTTTGTTTGCTGAAGATAAGCGCATATTTGTGTTTACTGTTTTCGGCTGCCCTACAAGAGGAAAATAAAAGGCTTTTGTTTTATGCAAAACTCTCTGTGCGAGTGCTCTGTGAGCTCCCCAACATCACAATATATTGTGTGTCAATCCCACTGTAGAATTGGGTGTTATGATCACCCAGGACTCTCAGCCAGAGGAGCTGAGATGTGTCAGGAAGCAAGGGGGTGGTCTGGGTTCTGCTTGGGATCCTGTAACTGGGATGTTTCAATGAGAGTAAGGAGGGAAGAAAGCTCCAGTCCTGGGTCCAGGGTTTAGCAGTGACCAGCACCCAATGATTGCACAGGAAAGGATGCTGACTAGGAGGGTTAGCTCCTGCTGGGAAATAGGAACAGACCATGTTCAGGGGTCAGCAGGACTCCCCCAGAAGTCAGAGAGGAGTCAGATGAGCTCCTGCTGGGACAGGAACGGACAGTGTTCAGGAGGTTAGAGAAGTTAGAGCCCAGAAGTTAGAGCCCATTCACACCAGGGCGGCTGTGGATCAGCGCGGTTTCCCCGCTGCTTTCAAAAGGTAGGTTTTGGGAGTTTTCAAATGCGTTTCAGCGCTGAAATGCAAACATAAAAATTTGCAACTGCCACCATTTTATTCTACAGGGTTTTGGCTTTCAGAAAATATAAAATTTTTGGAGGTTTTAATTAATTTTCAGGCCTAAAATGTGGATTATAACATGGGTGCAAAAAATGAAAAAAGGCCTTTGTCCTTAGAGAACTATGAGGTGAGTGCTTTTCACTCACCTCATAGTTCTAGCTGACCTGTGACAATGAGACTGTCACAGGTCGGCTCAGTAGATCGGGAGGTGAGCCAACACATACCGGCGTTCGCTCACCTCCCGATCCTGTCACGGCTCTATGCCGTGACAGGGAGGGGCTGGATTCCCCCCTCCCCGCTCCGATCCGCCAGCGCTGACTGGCGGATGGGGAGGGGGCGGGTACAGCTGGCTCTGCCTCTAGATAGGCAGAGCCAGCTGTCACTCACGCAGCTGGGCGGATCCAAACATAATTGTCGGGATCGGCTTCAGCTGCGGCGTCTCAGTATACCGCGAGTTACAGCTGTATACTGAGTATAGCTATACTGAGCTTAGGGTGACGGGAGGACGCTAGTTTGTGTCCTCCCGTTACCCTAAGGAGAACTATGGGGAAAAGCCTTAACCCAATAGTTCTCCTTTAAGGGGATAACTGTTAAATATTGAATAAAGAGATATTTAAAGAAAAAAAAAAGGTGTATGTTCATATTCTTACAAGGGCCCATTCCTGACCGATCCTCATTACACTACATCTAAAAGGCATAATATAAGAGTTTACATTTACTCTGCCAAGGAAAGGGGAAACACATTCACAGTGGCTTGTTTAGACAAAAAAACAAAACACTTCCCTATCTGATAATCATAAATTCTACTTTTTTTACTTCTAGTTTGCCTAGCACTTTCTTTCCTTTGCAGAAATGGATTTAGTAGTGGGCGGGACTACCCTGCATGCAAATCTTAGCGTACGTCACAGGCTTTGATGGAATTATAATTTCTATGCGCCTTATGCAAATAGGGTCTGTCTGATTGGTTATTACCAGCCGCAGCACCTGGACGCAAGTGATCGGTTGACAACACGGGAGCACAATAAGGAGACAGGGACAGAGCGTTGTCATCCTATAACAGGAAGTATCTGAACAAAGACGCTTTTGGCAGGATGACCAGGTATTTTAATGAAAGCCGCATACGTAAAAAGATACACAACTTTTGAAATGATATTAAACACATTAAAGCTTACACAAGATTTATATGATTGGGTTTAAAACGCTATAAAAAACATTTGTTCAAAAGTCCTTTAATTACAAAAACCAAAAAAGCGAGAAAAGAGCTTATGATTTATATTTTTAAAAGTCACAAAGCAGAGCCTAAAAATGTTGATATGATGGTACAGAATACAATCTACCGCAGGATAATGACTAGAACATGTTCACTATCATTTCTTTAAAAAAATTAAAGCAGCACTCAGCAGTATGAAAGTTATGGTTGCCGGTTCTTCATGCACAACAGGTCCTCTTTGCACTCTGTCTCCTCTATTGCATTATTTAGGCCACAGTTATTTTCGTTCCACTTTCGCTATAAATTGTTGGATATCTTTTGCCAGAAGTTCTGGCTCTTCAAAGGCAGCAAAGTGGCCCCCTCGGGGCATGTAATTAAAAGAGACGATGTTGACGCACTTCTGCTTGGCCCACAGGAGAGGACAAAGCACCAGCTCGTTGGGGAAGGAGGCGATGCCGGTGGGGACCTTGACGGGGAGTCTGCAAGACATTAGCAGGGAGAGATAAAGAGAAGGGGGGGGGGGGGATTCAGTGCACTGTAAAATAGCCACAATCTTTCTTGTGAAGAGTGCTTTGGAAACCATATTTTAATGGATAACCTTGTGCACCCCACTCCCAAGCAACTACAAGTCCCAGCAATCATTCCCTGCCATAACTTCAATTCTTGGCATATACTCCCAGCCAATAGCTCCCAACTGTCCCTCCTTTGGAGAAACTGTCCATCGTTTGGAATCGTATCTCCCTGTCCCTCTGTCCTATTCAGCTGTCCCTTCTTTTTGGTCTATACTTACTTCTATAAAAATAATAATTTAACTAAAAAAAGTGTTTACAGCGCTAAACCTTTCAACTAGGGATGCACCGAAACCGATACTGGTATCGGTATCGATACTTGGGTGAGTACTCGCTCAAATTCTCCGATGCCTTCCCTGATACCGGAACTTCCGGTCAGAGGAAGATTTCCTCTGACCGGCAGTGCCGTAGGGGAACATGGAGCTGACTTCCCATGCGATCAGGAAGCTGGACGGCGAGTAATGACCCTCACCCGGTCCTCGGACCCACGGCAGTCAGCGCTCACTTCTTCCCCTCTGCTCCGGCTAAGGAATGTCTCTCGGCGTCCTCACGTCTAATGCAAGCCAATGGACCTGCAGAAGACCTGATGACGTCAGAGGTCCTTTTACCTCCGAAGCCCAAGAAGAGGCTGCGGGGGACCAGTCTAAGAAGCCGGGACCAAGTAGCTGATTCTGCTTTATTCCAGCCCCTGTTGTGCACCACAACAAGCACTTAACCCTTGCAATGCAGGATTAGCTCCATTGCAAGGGTAAGCTTTTTATTTGCCTGAAGTTCTCCTTTAAGGGCCAGTTTACACCATATCCAGTGCGTTACGGTTAGTGGCTGGAACGCACTGGATCACATAATGCCTCCCACGTTCATTCATGTCAATGGCACCACAGACATGCCTCCCGCCCGCAGTGCGATCGCCCAAAAATAGTGCATGCCACCGTGCCAGAACGCACTGGATATGGTGTGAACCGGCCCTAATTGATTGCATTTGTTATTTTGAAACCAAATTACAGAGTGCAGGTATATACTGAAAGAAATATAACTCCTCCCAGTAGAGTGTGGCGGGGCCCTATGTCACATAACGGGTACCTTTCAGTAACTTTACATCTACGCACATAAATTCCCCATATGTCACAAAATATAATTATCTAAAATAAACCTCCATTTTTTATTATTGGAAAATTGTCCTTAAACTCCAGTCCAGTGACTTTGCCTAGGGCGAGTTGATGTCATCAGTCAGGAAGTATCTCCTCTCCCCCAGACTGCATTGGTGACAAGTTCTCTTTAAGGAGACATCAGGGGTCAATTAGACCCTTAATGTCACCTTTGCACTTAAATGAAGCTGATCAAGCACAGATCGTGCTTGATCAGCTTTCTTCCCCAGCTAGAGTGGCTGCAGAATGACAGCTCTGAAACCAGAAGTGACAAAATCCTCATCGCCCTTGGCTTTATTCACTGGTCAGCGGAACCTAGGATATATGGCAGAGGGGTTGTGCTTACAGTGCCCTGTTCCTGATGCTGTATGGCATACAGTGGCAGTAGCAAAGGACTTAAGTCAATATACTTCACCTAGGCTGAGATGGCTGAGAAGCATTTCCCCCAGTCTCCTCTCCCCCAGTAATCAGACTGCAACATTGTAACTTTGCAGCAAATTACATGATGAGAGGTCACAGCAGGGGCTGATCTGTGTCAGACATTTATGAACACAGCCAAGATCTGTACAGGCACCAGGATTTACATGACTGTGATCCGACGCCCAGGAAGTAGATGATGACCCTGGATGATGCCTAAACAAACCTGGACGTGTTACAGTTATACATTCCCTTACTTAGCATGCTGCACTTAACATAACAATATACATTCAGCTAGGTTCACTTTAACAGAGACAATTTGCAATCTACCCATTACATACTTGTCATGCTCGGCCTTGCCAATTCCTTTTCCAATATTCTCCTTGTAGAACCTCATGGAGGAGACAATGGAGCCAGACACCCAATAAATCATGATATTGGTCAGAAGGTCATCCAAAGTGTATTTCCTGGAATGCAGAAGAATAGCGGGTAGGAATGTGTTCAAATTGTCAGACTGAGAAGAATGGGCGGGACTTGTGCAGAGTTTATATGTAAATGATATATATATGTGTGTATATAATGATCACTATGCAGTTTCAGGCCTGGTTCACACCTGGGCGTTTTGTAGCGCGTCCGAACGCTCTGCAAAACGCTCAATCACCGAAATCCCATTATTTCCTATGGGTATGGTTCACACCTGGGCGTATTACAGGCCGTATGAACGCGCTACAAAACGCCCTACGCCCAAAGAAGTACAGGAGCTTCTTTGGGGCGTTTTTGTTGCGCGTTTCCATTGGGATACAGCCAAGTAGACCTCTGAAACGCGCGTTTTTTAACCGCGAATCGCGGTAAAAACGTGCGTCACGAAACGCGCGACAAACGCGCATGTTTGATACGTCTAGGTGTGAACCCAGCCTAAAGGTGGCCATACACTTTACAACCCTCGCAAGACTTTTGTCTTGCGAGGGTTGTAATGCACTTAAAAAAACGTACGATCTGCCCATCTTGGACAGGCAGATCGTACTTGCGATGACTGCAAACGGGCAGTGTGCGCGTGCGGTTCGGCAGTTGTCGAACAAGCAGGCCACTAAAGGTGCCCATGCACTGCATCTGGAAATCCCACGATCGTACGATAATCGTGCAGTGTATGGAAGGCGGACGACCGTTTCTACTGTACGGCGCACATCTTCCGTCGAACCAGCAGCCTGGAAAACTGGAGTTAAGGTGCCCATACACGGCACGATTCTCCTAGGAGAATCACGGGAAATCCCGCGATCGTACGATAATCGTGCAGTGTATGGATGGCGTGCGACCGTTTCTACTGTACGGCGCACATCTTCCGTCGAACCAGCAGCCTGGAAAACTGGAGTTAAGGTGCCCATACACTTTACAACCCTCGCAAGACAAAAGTCTTGCGAGGGTTGTAAAGTGTATGGGCACCTTAACTCCAGTTTTCCAGGCTGCTGGTTCGACGGAAGATGTGCGCCGTACAGTAGAAACGGTCGCACGCCATCCATACACTGCACGATTATCGTACGATCGCGGGATTTCCCGTGATTCTCCTAGGAGAATCGTGCCGTGTATGGGCACCTTTAAGCTGGTCATACAAGTGGCAACCTGTAGCCTGTAATCAAGCAATGCGCAGCGCATGAGTTGGATCATCCACCTGAATGCAGTTGATCAAACTGGCCTATGTATTGGCAGCTTCAATACAGGTCGTGATAGAAAAAAATAGACGAAATCCTGAAAAAACAACTCTCTCTCTCTCTCTCTCTCTCTCTCTCTCTCTCTCTCTCTCTCTCTTCCCCCACAACTTGACTTTTCCATA